TAAAACTGCAATTAACAAGCAAAAAAAAAAGAAAAGAAAAAAAAAGGCATTCCTCTTCTGGTGGATATAAAAATAAAACGGATTGATAGGTTTATTTTTACATGCAATATTAATTGTTCATTTTTCTCTTTCCAGGAGGACAAGCTATTATTATTCGCTTATCAAAGAAAGTTCAGAAGATAGTGGTCTAGGAAAACAGACATTGCTAGAATACAATATAGTTGGAGAGCCAGACACAAATATACCCCTGAAAATGAATTTAGGTGATACTAAAAACCAGGACGTTGAAATTTGGAAGAAACTTGAAAATACAGATCAAACACTGCATGAAAACTCATCTTTTGATTGACTTTTGTGTATAATGAAATACAATCAAAAGACTACCTTCCTCTACAGATAATATTTCGTCGCCTTTTTATTGACAAAATACCATCTTTGACATTTTGGTAAGTTGAAATGTAAACAAAAGACCATCTTTGACATTTTGTGAACCTTGAAATGTAATCGACAGACAACCTTTGACATTTTGTGCATGTCAAAAGGTATAGAATAGACAACCTTTGACATTTTATGCATATCAAAAGGTATAGGACAGACAACATTTGACATTTTGTGCATGTCAAAAGGTATAGGACAGACAACCTTTGACATTTTATGCATATCAAAAGGTATAGGACAGACAACCTTTGACTTTTGTGCATGTCAAAATGTATAGAACAGACAACCTTTGACATTTTATGCATATCAAAAGGTATAGAACAGACAACCTTTGACATTTTGTGCATGTCAAAAGGTATAGGACAGACAACCTTTGACATTTTATGCATATCAAAAGGTATAGGACAGACAACCTTTGACTTTTGTGCATGTCAAAAGGTATAAAACAGACAACCTTTGACATTTTATGCATATCAAAAGGTATAGAACAGACAACCTTTGACATTTTGTGCATGTCAAAAGGTATAGGACAGACAACCTTTGACATTTTGTAAATGTCAAAATGTATAGGAAAGACTTTCTGTGACATTTTATGCACGTCAAAAGGTATAGGACAGACAACCTTTCACATTGTGTGCAAGTTAAAAGGTATAGGACAGACAACCTTTCACATTTTGTGCATGTCTAAAGGTAAAGGACAGACAATCTTTGACATTTTGTGCGTGTCAAAAGGTATAGAATAGACAACCTTGGATATTTTTTGAATGTCAAAATGTATAGGACCGACTTTCTGTGACATTTTATGCACGTCAAAAGGTATAGGTAAACTATTTATGACCCCCCCCCAAAATTATGACCGAATGTAAAATTTGAGCGGGAAGTCATCTGTAACTTTCTGTACATGTAAATACAGAGGACAAAAACATTATACCCCACTTTTTGTCTACATTTATATGGGATGACATGCAAACGTGGCATTTTGTGCATGTTGAAATATTTAATAAGGAACATGTTTGATTCACTCTGTGTATTTTTAAGTGTAAAACAAAAGACAATCACATTCAATGTTTGAGCACAAGAGAACAAAGATCATTCAAATTCATATATGTTTTCATAGCGATTTAATAGGTCCATCTCGTCCTGAACTGAAAGTTATTTAACCTTTTATAAATAGTCGTGTCTATAAACCAATCTCAGCAAAACTCTCTAATACCATTGTCTACAGGATGTTTCGCTGAAAGAGTATAAATCTACTTCACTATCTTAAACTGTTGAGAAAACATTTGACCTTTCTCCGATACTTTGTTACGTGATAAAATTTACACATCTTTATATATTTGAAAGGATTTTCCCTAAGTAATGATCTGTAGTGATCAAATAGTTTATTAAAAATTTGTATGATTTGATGATACATGTATAACACCTGGTTAGAAGAACCATGCATGAACTCAAGCTTTTTTAAACAAACAAACATAAATAATTAGCAGTGGTATATAAATAACTACAATAAGTGTAACGAAATTGTTTATTTAATAGTAAACTTAATGTTTAATTTGTTTACATTTTACTGTTTCAAAGCAATAACTGGCATGTAAGATTAGTACAACACACTGCATTAAGACACTTATTCTTAATACCCAATACAAAAAGAATACTCATAACATCATAAATATCTACAATAATCAAATACACTCCATAAAAAGTACTTCCTTTAAAAAACACAAAAGAGTCATGACACATTCATGAAATTAAATAAAGGAATCATGACAAGAAAATATTGTAATTTTGACATTGTCATATAATCAATTTTCTTAAATAGTTGTATTTTTTTGTACAAAGTAAAACAATATGATTACAGATTGTATCATTATAACTGGATCCATATTCATAAAATATGACGCTCTCTTGGTGCAACAATAATTACATTTCTGCTGTTAAATTTTGCTTTCGCATGAACAAACCTACATTTAATTCTGTGGACTGGTATAAATAAAGCAGGCCCTTCTTGAACAAATAATTCTGAAGACCATATTTCAATCGGTTTACCATTATAGTGCTGTACAGAAGCAGGTAAATTCTTGTACCAATTTACTTTCGCTAAAAAATGTGTCTTTGTTTCTCCATTTACAATAATACTATGCTTATACATTTGTACAATTTGTCCTGGATGAGGAGATAAATCAAAATTGTCAGTATCAATTGTCCCTTCGTTATTACACCAATAAGCTAAAATATAGGATGATCTAACACTTCTGCTCATTTTGCAACCAAGCAATGTTCCATTTAAATACAAGTTTTTGCACACTTTGACAGAGGGACAAACAATAAAATCATACTGATACAGTGTTGAATACATTTGGCTTAACAGTCTTATTTCACAATCACTCAGAACAGCATCCTTCATTTTAGGAACAAAAATGTTATCTGATAAATCCCAACATACTTCTTTTACAGGTACATATTGTGATGACATATCGAGAACGCTTGGTTTCAAAGAAACAGAAACATCATTTAATGTACCCCTCTCCCTTGTAGTATTTGACATATCATTGAATAAAGACATAAATTTTTCATCCATTTGGAATTCTTTTTCCCTTGCAAAAGACTCTTTTAAAAATCTCCTCATTAATTGAGTCTCTATGTTTTTTTTATTAGTTTTGTAAGAGCCTAATATACCATTTTCTCTTTCAAAACTAAAAAGCCAGGAAGAATATACTGGTCCAAAATCTATTATACAATCATATAAATGCCCATGAAGGTGCATATTTGGTGTGACAAAATCTTGCCCATACAATTGTTCAAATTTTTTACAAAAGTCATTTAGCAATCTATCTGCAACTTTTGCATTACCAACACTTATAAACATTGAACACAACCGTCTACATGCTAACACAAACTTTCTCCAGCATTCAAGGTGTTCCTTTGGCAATAAATCAGTTAAAGCATAAATAGAAAACAATAGGGTCCAATTTTTGTACTGATCTGCATTAAATGACCCATAAGATGAAGCAAATTTCTTAGGTAGTCTCCCTACATCTGAGGGACATTCAAATGGATCCAGTTTTGTCTGAATTTTTTTAAAGTCGTCATCACATAATAATTTCTTTGTCTTCCATACAGAAAGCATGTGTTTTGCTGTTCCTTAAAATAAGTTATGCATTGGATCAATTGCTGTCATTCTTACTGGATCAAAGTATTCAAGCTCAAGCAATGCAGAATATCTTGTACCAAACTGACGTTCAATGTTTTCTTTATCTCCCTTGCTAGTAGAATTATTTATAAAACCACATTCTTGACGATGACTTTCGTTGTCTCTGGACGGCCATTCTAATCTATCAAAACCACCATAATTTTTTTCACCTACAGTTCCTGGGAATTTCTTTTTACATTTGTTGCAACCTGAGGTTGCTGCATGTCCAAGGAAACCACACAGCTTTCTACTAGCAGGAATGTCACATCCAACACATATGAGTGCAAGTTTAAAGCATTTCAATATCAAAGGTGACTTATTTGAAAACAATTGAAAACCATCTGACCAAGACTTCTTTAGCTCTTGAACAAGAGGGGTAACAAAGGTGTTTGTCTTAGGCTCTGTTTTCATATCCGGAATAACACCAACTAGTAAAACATTTTCTCTTCTAAATCTTTGATCTCGTGGAAGATTAAAAAATGCTATGTACATGACACCTATAGAACAATGAGTATGTTTGTATGGTTGAAACCAATCAACAGTTAAAATGCAACCATAATTATCCTCTTTTGTAAAAAAATTATATTTTTTTCCATTAAAATCATCCCATAATTTTCCATCATAAATGTCATACATAATATCTTCTCTTGTTTCTCTCAATCGCCATTGTTCACATAAGTCTTCAAAATGTTGTCTTTTAACACAATAACTTAAGCTTGACTCAATAGATTTGTAACAGTATATTTTGTAAGGGGCTAATATTTTTGAAGGTTCACTTTTAATTTCCATTAAAAGAGGCTGATTACATCTTTTTCTTAAATAAGGAAGTCTATGATTAGGAAACTCTATAAAAGAGCACTTTTTAGAGACTTTTGAACCTTCAACAATATGATAACAATCTTCGAATTCATACAATGAATAGCAGTTGGTACAAACAACATATTGTTTAAAATCTAACATATTACTCTTCAAAAGTTTAGACAACTGGTACATGTTTTTGGGGAAAACATTTTGTACTTTAGAACAAACATCTGAATTCACAGACAACAGTTTAAAAAATGTTGCTAAAATGTTCAAAAGAAAACAAATAGCTGCATCTGATATATAATAAATACATTGCCATAATAATAAAAGTTTACAAAACCAATAAGTAATCCGAGATATATCGGACTCTGAATTATGTTCTTGATCTACACCAATACTTTCATCACAATCAATATCAAACTCTACATCTGAGTAATTATCAGAACTATATGAATCGTTCAGATTATCTTCACATCTATCAAAGTAGCTTTCAATGTCCTCATCTTCTAAATTATTATGAGATATATTTGATAAATTTCTGAATTTATTCATACAATTATAATTTATTTCATGTTCATCATCACTGATATCATTTTGATAATCTGATGTGTTATTTTCCACACTTGATACAGGTATATTTTCGTTATCAGATTGAGGTACTTCACTTTCACAAAATTGAACGTTACATTCAAGTAGATGTCTACGAGCATGTTTGTCTGAGAAAACTGTATAACATTTAGGGCAAGATTTTCTTGGACGCTTTGCTTTTTCTGCCATGAAACATGCAATAAAGTTTTGATTCAAAATTATGAATTAAGTATTCTAGTAGCTGCTTCACTGTATAATAAACCAATGTGCAAGCTTTCTTGAATACAAGTAGCTGCTTCACTAGTAGTCAATGTGCATGCTCTCTAGAATCTTATTCATATCTTTGGTACCAAAAATAAGGGCAGAAATTTTATCTCAAAATATATATAAAATTCATTGCTTATACATGAAATCAAATAATTCCTATTTACAATCCACTTGACTATTAAAGGTAGATTTTGATTATGGGTTTATAAAAAGAAAATAGAAAAATAAAAAACACTTGCAACATAAAACTATATATAAATCCAAACTGAATAAATTTCTATTCTAAAATATCAATATTTTTCTGTCCTTTTTCTTTCAAAGCTAAGGATAATCTTTTAGCCTTTTGGTATGTCACCATTTTCGAAAATAATGGATCTTTAAACATGTCCACATAAAAGTTATCATCACTAGGTTTTCTTTCTGTTCCTGCTATTTGTCTATTTTTATCATTTTCAACTACATCTATATTGTCATTTTCCCCTTCTTTTTCTCTTTGTTCCCAATATCTGAAATAAAAGTGAATGGTTAACATTTGTCCTTTACAACTCTTAAGTAAAAAGAATATAAACTGTTATCACAGAGATATGTCTCGCTTTTTTGTAATTTTGATAATGCAAATGTTGAAATTAAAATAGCAATACTTTAACATGTAAGTTATGCAAATATTCAAAGTCGATGAACCATGACTGAAGGTACATGGCTAAACAATCTCCATGGAATGAGATTTGCTAATGCTAATACAACTGCATACCAAATACCATTGACTTATTATAAGTCTTTCCCTTTAAACAAACCTAAACACAAACATTAACTTGTAAACTATGTAAAAGTTTAAAAGTCAATGAACCATTATCAGGGGTGGGGCTATATAATCTCCATGGAAACGATACTTGCAAATGCCAATAAATTTGCATACCAAATATAATTGACTTAACATTAGCAGTTCATCTTAAACTGATCTAATCACAAACTAATACATGTAAACTCAGCAAAAGTTTCAAAAGTTAAATAGACCATGACTGAGGGGGCGGGGGCCAAATATTCTCCATGGAAATGAGATGTGCTAATGCTTATACAACTGAACACCAATTAACATTGGCCTACCACTAATGGTTCCCCTTGAACTGACCTAATCACAAACTAATACATGTTAACTTAGCAAAATTTTCAAAGTCTATAGACCATGACTAAGGGGGCAGAGCCAAAAAATCTCCATGGAAATGAGATATGCCAATACTTATACAACTGCATACCAAATATTATTGACCTACCACTAGTGGTTCCCCATAAATTGACCTAATTACAAACTAATACAAGTAAACTATGAAAAGTTTCAAAGTCAATAGACCTTGACTGAGGGGGCGGGGCCAAATAATCTCCATGGTAATGAGATGTGCCAATGCTTATACAACTGCATACCAAATATCATTGACCTACCACTAGTGGTTCCCCATAAATTGACCTAATCACAAACTAATACATGTAAACTATGAAAAGTTTCAAAGTCAATAGACCTTGACTGAGGCGGCGGGGCCAAATAATCTCCAAGGTAATGAGATGTGCCAATGCTAATACAACTGCATACCAAATATCATTGACCTACCACTAGTGGTTCACCATGAACTAGACCTTATCACAAACTAATACATTGTTGACGCATACCTATGTCTCGCTTTTTGACTCCGTCAAGGCGAGACAAAAACTGGTATCTTTATAATTAGTAACAATAACTGAAATGGGCATGTCAGAATCAGTTTTGGTTGTTTGTCTTATACATGTAACAAGCTGACCAACTAGGCAGAAACATTTTTTTCTTGAAATCCTTGGGACAGCAAGTCTCCTACAGCAGTTTCTTGTTCCCTTCCTTTATTCATGCTATTGGTAGTTTCATTCAATTAAGAGAGATCATATCATGGTGAACATGAATACAGAGTTTCAAGTTGAAGTCACAAAGTTCAAGTTGATTGGAATTCATGATCAACTTCATCAAAACTACCTTGACTAAAATCTTTTACCAAAATTTTAACCTGAAACTGGACGGACTAACTAATTTGATTTATTTAATTGTTTACATTGTATCATAGATCAAATTTATTTGTTCAGTGTATGTTCACTTGTGTTAATATGTCTTTTGATTTAAGCCATTTCAATTGATATTTTATAAGGTGTCTTTCTATGTTGTGATGTTACACTATTGTTTCAGATAAGGGTAAAGGTTTGGTACCATTAAAACATTTAAACCCCCTGTTATTGTTGGCACATGTCCCAAGTCAGGAATCTGATGTTTAATAGTTGTCGTTTGTTGGTGTGGTTCATTAGTTTTTCTTGTTTTTTATATAGATAAGACCCTTGGTTTTTCCTGTTTGAATGGGTTTTACACTAGTAAATTTTGGGGACCTTTTTAGCTAGCTGTTCAGTGTTAGTCAAAGCTTAGTGGTGAAGACCCTTCTTTTGCCTATAATGGTTTATTTTTATAAATCGTGACTTGGATGGAGAGTTGTCTCATTGGCACTCATGCCACATCTTCTTCAATATAAAGCTTTATACGAATAGTAACTGAGTTGCAAATTCCCTTTGTCTTGCATTTCACAGGATTTTTTCCAGACAAAAAAAATTGATAATTTCAAATTTTTTTTTTTATTTGTAATCATATGTTATTATTATTTCTCAAAAAAACAGTAAACAAACTCCCTGAAAAGTAGGCCGTAGTGATAGATGATCATGAACAACTACATTGTATTCAGGATAGTGTGGAAGTTTAATTTTTGTTTTTATTCATTAGTATTAGGTATCAATTCAATGAAGTGATATTTCATAAGCCACAATATAACAGTTACTTTTTGAGGAGGCAAGTATAAACATGTTGGATGTTAATTCTTACTTTTGTTTCTTCAGCATACGACGTCTTTTGCTTCTAGACTTCACTTCTTCTTTTGACTTCTTTTTACTTTTACTTTTCAAAGACTAAAAGGAAATATAAGTAGCATTAATGATTTTGTACATATAAATATATATAACCAGTCTAAAAGGATACAAGATCACCATAAAATAACAATTAATTAACAAATGTTAATTATTTCAGTTAACAGATGTCCTTCATCAGTATGATCACGAAGTAAAATGAATCTGATATATCAATCTATTTTGATTGTTAAACTATAGCAATCTTGAATTCTTTACAATAAAGAAAGTTAAACAGTTTTACCAGAACATCATATATAGATTTGCTTGTACTATTTTAAAATTTCTAAAAAACGACTCAAAGACATGCCAAAAATAACAAGAATGTGTCCCAAGCACACGGATGCCCCACGTGCACAATCATTTTCTATGTTTAATGGACCGTGAAACTGTGGTAAAAACTCTAATTTTGCATTAAAATTAAAAAGATCATAGCAAAGGGAACATGTGTACTAAGTTTCAAGTTGATTGGACTTACACTTCATCACAAACTACCTACTAAAAAAATGAAATAAAAATACCTTGACCATGATATTTCAACTAGTATAATTCAAAAACTTCCCTAACACTGTAGGAGTCAAGTAAGGAAGCCGGAGTTACTGGAAACAAGTGATGTCTGGAAAATGAGTGATGATGGTAGAAAAATGAGTGACTCATTCTATTTTTTTTCATTTATGCCTGTTGGGGAAACTGTCCTTAGCTTTCTTACACAAAATCTTTCCTGAGCAAGTCTTTCGGCCCTTGACCAACCCTCACTGTGGTCTATGATTGTGATGGTAAGGTTTTTAAGATCAGTTTGGGCGTGCCTAGGTGATCTTAAATGACGACTCACAGGGAGGTAGGGCTTGCAGGTGTAGTCATTTTGATGACCATTCATGCGTTTGTTGAATAGCTGTTCTGTCTCGCCAACATACTGCATGCCACATCGACACTGCAGAAGGTATATAACATCAGTGTTCTCAATAATTTTTTGAATAAAAGGAAGAAACATAAAAGTAGCAGGCAATCACGAGGGCCGCAAGGCCCGAACCAAGCGTCGCAGAGGCAAAAGGGGGGGTGAGTTCGAGAGGGGGTATCCCCCCTTCTCGTAAAGCCGGAAAATTTCTAGATTGCAGGGGGTGGTATCTGGGCTGTTCGGAGTAAATTTTGACCTCTTATTCTTCATGTTAAGTCCATTTTTAGTAGCTCATCTAAATTTTTCCTCAAAAATTGAAAATTAATATGATTTTTTTTTGCAGATTTTATATGACATGGCTTGCTTCACCCCTTCCCATGTTCAATGTTATTCTTATTGCAAGTCTCACTAAGGGCTATTCCAGAATTGATTTTATTGGGAGGAAAATGCACTTTTTATTTGAATAAAATTTTAATTCATTTTTCCTTAATTGTAAGTTTTGATTGGGAAAATATGTGAAGTAGCCCATGCAATTTTTTTTTATTAATGTGCCTCCGCCCTCCCCATACAGACATTTCTGGAATAGCCCTTATAATTGTGTCTTCACCTCATATTATTTCTTAGTGTCTTGTATTATAGTTTAAATAGAATTCATTGAGAACATTAATTTATGCTTTATTCAGTCATTCAAAAACTGGGAAGATTTATATTTAGAGGAAACCAGACCTGCCTTCGGAAACTGTCAACCTGCAGTAAGCAACTGACAAAATATGGCTAAAAAAATAATAAATTTTAAATCCAGGAAATAGAACTATGAAGGGTCAACAGTTTAACAGGATACACTCAATCCTCTCTGTTGTTCAGAGGGTACAAGTTAAATCGGCACCTATCGAAAAAGTCAAATCGGCATCTGATCAAATAGGCAACTATTTTAAAGTCATTTCGGCATTAAGTTGGTCAGTTCGGCACCAAATATTAATTTTCATCTGTTTTCTGCTTTTTAATTATTCTTCAAAAACTTATATAAAAACCAATGAAGCCATAACCCAAGCTGTTGTTTAATCATGAAAAATTAAGATGCAATAAAAGGGCAAACTATGAGTCCCTAGCTTTCATCAATATCAACTGGTTAAAACATGCATAATAAATATCCAATACCTTGAATACACATATAGTTGACCGAAGAAAATACACAAAGAAACAAAAAGAACTTGATTATATACAATAATCAATTCTGGCTATCCCCCTTCTTTATTTTATTCTTTTTGCTTAAAATACGGTAAGAGTTCCATATGGCACCCCCACCATACTAAAAGAACACAATAATGTATTACAGTTTATTCCATGGGGTGCCATATGGAACTCTTTCCAAAACTATATACCAAATATCAAATCAATATCTTCAAGAACAAAGAAAAAGCCTGGAAAACTGATTTGCTGCCCTGAAGGGTGGACAGACAGACAGAGTGCAAACCTAAAGTCCCCTGTGACTTCGTCAGTAGGGGACTAAAAAGTATGGAACACTGATTATTTAAGTGAATTTTCCAAGGACCATAACTCTGCACAAAATCATTAGACTGAAACAAAACTCGAACTTGATCTGTAACTTGCCATGATAAAATCAAATCAATATCTTCAAGCCTGAAGAAAAGAGTGAAGAAAACTGATTTGCCGTACTGGCAAATGAACAGACCGACAGACGGACAGAGTGCAAACCTAAAGTCTACTTCGACTTTGTCAGTAGGGGACTAAAAATACAAATTACCTTTGGTGCATCATCTATCCTGATTGATGGTCTGTTCAAATTCAAATCTTTGTCTGGATTTCTTAATTTGCTCTTCTTTGATTCCTCTGTTTCATCAAAGCGGAAAGATCTGTCTATGATGGTGAATACATCTCCATGATTTAATTTTATTGGTTTGTCAAAATATGAAGAGTTGACTAAGACAGGATTATCTATACTCAAGTTTGTCAAAAAAACCTACAAAAGAAATGAACAGTACATATTTCATACAGTTGAGTTTTTTCAAAATAAAACATTTTTGGACAGAAGAATGATTTATAATTAGACACATTGTTGAAGTCTGTTTAGTGACTTATAGTTGTTAATTTTACAATTCAAATTAAACTTCGTTGTATATACAATTGAATAAAATTTGGCATGAAAACTAAAGGAAAATGTTTCCTCAGTACAAAGATGTCCTACTCTCCCTATCATTTTCCATTTTTAACCATAACTTAACAGGTGGGGCATAAAAATTAGGACATGCTAGGAAGATAATCTACACTTTAATTTAATGATAGTGTTTGCAACGATAACTATGGTCATAACCATAAGGGTCAGAAAACAAAACAAATATTTTTTTTACCCGATATACAGGGGTGGATCCAGCCATTTTAAAAAAGGAGGGTTCCCAACCCATGACAAAGGGGGTTCCAACTATATATCCCCATTCAAATGCATTGATTGGCCAAAAAAAAGGGGGTGTTCCAACTATATGTCCCCATTCAAATGCACTGATCGGCCCAAAAAAAGGGGGGTTCCAACTATGTGTCCCCATTCAAATGCATTGATCGGCCAAAAAAAAGGGGGGTTCCAACCCCCGGAACACCCCCCCCCCCCCCCCCCCCCCCCCCCCCCCCTGGATCCACCACTGGATATATCAGCATGATCAGTACTGTTGTTTCATGGTTTGGTACTAGTTTTAGTTAACTAAGATTTTAAATACAATTCACCTGTTTATTGTCTGATACATTAATTCTACAATGTTCTCCGGAAACATTTGGAAGCTTAATTATTATATCACAATCTTTGCCCCTGAAAAAAATATAAAAAAGACTACACAAATCTACATGGTTAATACTATAATGGGTTGACTTTTGGGTCTAACTGAAGCTACATTCTTAATGATAATCCTTAACAGCAAGCAGGGAAACTAACTAGTTTTTATGATTTCAGAATAATCTAATCTACAACTAGTCCTTTAATTACATTAAATACAAGTGTGGTCACAGACCAGCTTGGATAGTATCCAGAATACATTCTGAGAGTATTGCATGGCAAAACATAGTCCCCTACCATTAACAATTAATTTAACCAAAACGAAATTGGAACTTGAATCCTTGATCTGTAACGTCTCATTTTAAGACTATATTATACATATATACCAAATTTATATCAAATAAAAATCTTTACTCATGATGAAAGACAAGCACTCTGTAAGCATGGTGAGTATTGCATGGTAATACATAGTCCCCTACCTCCCCTACCAGTTAAAATGTCATTGTATAAGAACAAAATTTTAACTTGATCTATACCATGTCATGGTGTAAACTATTTAACAAATATCTTCAAGCATGACAAAAAAAGTGTTGAAAACTGATTTTTTTTATTGTGTAAGTGAGTTTTTTGAGTCCAATGGCTTAAACTCTGAACAAATTTATCAGACTAAAAATAAATTCGAACTTCATCTGTAACTGGTCTAACATGATAAAACTATTATATACCAGTTTTCCAATCAATATTTTCAAGCATGATGAAAATAGACAGCTGCGCCATGAGCGCATAATACATAACATGCCTGTAGCGTTTTCAAAGAATAAAGTTCAAAAACTTTTTAAGCCGATAATAATTATATATGTCTACCCTATTTGACCCTGGGTTACTGAATTTTCAAGAATGGTGCTTTAATATGACAAAGTCATTGTCAGTATATCCTGTATATACATTTTGTACCTTGCATGCATTTCAAAATCGACTGTATTTTACTATAAATGGTACCCCAAAAAATGTAAAATTCACACAAACTCTAAAAAAGTATTTGCTGTAGCATAACAAAAAATAAATGATTTTTTGCATTATGCACATTACATGTATACTAAAATGTATATAGAGATCCTTTCAATTTCTGTCAAGAAAGCCATGAGGATTAAAAGAAGATTGATTGATTGATTGTTGGTTGCTTAACGTCCAGTGGCAAATATTTCATGCATATTCAGGACGAGAACAAGTTCACAATAAATACAATAGGTAGGTTCTGTAATAGATTAAGGGATTATGGTCGGAGAAATTTAGACTGCCACGGGAAATGAGGGTATATTGGATAGGGACAGAAATTTAGCCTTGCAACAGGTCACCTACGGACCCCTCAAAGAGTTGTTGCAAGGGTTCTTAACGTGCAAAGAGCGTGGCACTCTCTTTACACGAGGCATCGGATTTAACGTCCCCATTCTGACCGGACGTGGCTGCAAATTTGTACATCCCGCACAGCCAAACGGACGCCCCACTTTAGCACGGGTTTTACTGCCGGTCGGAGGAAGACCAATGGTGACCATACTTCTATTCCCCAGTCACCCTTGGGGGGATTAAAAGAAGAATGATGCCCCAGCTTGCATAAATTTTATAAAGTGACATAATTCAATAACACCTTGTGATGACACTAAAATTTAATAAATAAAACTCAATCTCACATTTGTAGTAATAGGCGTTGCGCGTTAGTTTCATAACATTTGCTTCAAGTAAAACGAAGTTAAGAAATGGGAAAGAGAGATATACATGTGAAGCATGGTATTCAAGATAATCATTTTCTTTTATATAAGTACTTTAATTATAATTACCTTCCAAACAAACAGTTTTTAACAGTTAAGGGAAAATGTGCTCCATCTACACCGCTTCTCTTTATCACTATTATCTCTCCATAAAGCATTCTGAAATAAAAACGTTTAATAAATAAAAATAAAATGCTCCGCTGGGCGCAGCTTGATACGACCGCAGAGATCGAACCCTGAACAGTTGGGGCAAGTATGGACACAACATTCAAGCTTGATACAGCACTGAATTTGGATTGTGATTAAATATTTGACACAGCACAGGTTTCTGACACAGAATGAATGTGGTCTAAGAACTTAAAAATTTTAAATTTACCTATTCAAACCATATCATTATTATTTGCTTTTATATATAAAACTAGAAAAATGCTTGTTTTTTGGCCCCTTTTTGGCCCCAAATTCCTAAACGTTTAGGGCAATTACCCCGAAACTCAAACCCAGCTTTCCCTTTGTGATATGGAACCTTGTAGTACAATTTCATAAAGATCCATACACTTACACACAAGTTATTGTCCTGAAACTAGAAAAAATGCTTGTTTTTTTGCCCCTTTTTTTGCCCCTAATTCCTAAAATTTTGAAGCAATTACCCCCAAAATCGATCCCAGCCTTCCCTTTGTGGTATGGTACCTTGCAGTACAATTTCAGAGAGATCCATACACTTGAACACAAGTTATTGTCTGGAAACTAGAAAAATGCTTATTTTGGCCCCTTTTTGGCCCCTTAATCCTAAACGTTTTGGGCAATTACCCCCAAACTCAATTTTAGCTTTCCCTTTGTGATATGGAACCTTGTAGTACAATTTCAGAAAGATCCATACACTTACACACAAGTTATTGTCATGAAACTAGAAAAATGCTTGTTTTTTGCCCCTTTTTTGGCCCCTAATTCCTAATATTTTGAGGCAATTACCCCAAAATCAATCCCAGTATTCCCTGTGTGATATGGAACCTTGTGGTACAATGTCAGAGAGATCCATACACTAACACACAAGTTATGTCTGGAAGTTAAAAAAAATGCTTATTTTTGGCCCCTAATTCCTTAACTGTTGGTACCATAACCCCCAAAATCAATCACAACCTTCCTTTAGTGGTATTGAACCTTGTGGTAAAATTTCATAGAGATCCATTGACTTAAACTAAAGTTAGAGTGCGAAAACCAATGTGTCTTCGGACGACGACAAAGCCGGACGACAACGACGACGACGACAAAGCCGGACGACAACGACGACGACGACGCCAACGTCATACCAATATACGACCGCAAAAATTTTTTACAGTCGTATAAAAACAGGTCATCAAACTAGACTCTGAAAGAGTTTGTGGCTCACCTGCCAATTTGGTGACCTTTGGAATCTGGAGATATACATTTTTTTAATAGTGTTAATTTATTCTTAAATTCTTAAATTATCTTAAATTAATTGTTCATTGCTGAAGGTGGTATGGTGACCTATAGTTGTTAATTACTGTGTCATTTGGTATCTTGTGGGGAGACTTGTCTCTATTGCAATCATACCACATCTTCTTTTTTTATATTGGTACAAAATGTACAAGTTAGCAATGGTACTGGGCCACACTTATAAAAATAATTTGGTTTGTCCAAATCCTACCCGAAGGTTGAATCAGTTTAATCAGGAAAGTAGGCATTGTCTTTTTTCTTTTTTGACAAAGAGAAATTAATGTGTCAAATGTTTTTTTTATCTCCATGCCTATCTGATTGAAAAAAAAATTTCACATCAGGACAAGAAAATATTTTGAGTATGCGGCTCTTTTTAGGGTAGGTAAGGGTTAGGGCAAACATCTTTTTTATGGCTGAGGAAATAATTTTAATATGAATAAAAAAAGATGTCACCTACCCCCCTTTTGAAAATTACTCTTGATCCACCACTGCCATAAATAATTTTTAAATTAAAAATAATTCTGCTTTAAACAGTGTTCAACAGTGAAAATATGTAAATTTATGACTCTGTTGACTCTGTTATATATGTTCTTTTATAATGTTAACAATGTACATGCATCTTGTTCTTCTTCTTCTTCTTTATAGAGGTGGGGGTGTGGGGGTGGGGTAGGAGGGGTCCTGATCCCGAAATCCTGGACTTAAAAACACGAAATCCTGAGGTCCCGAATTTTAAATGAATTTAAATCCTGACATCCGACATCCAGAAATTCGAAAAAAGAATTCCTGGATCCCAAAAGGGTCAATGCAGAAATCCAAAGCTTAAAAACACCCGATCCTGGAGTCCCAATAAAGGTCATATCCCCCCTCTTTTTATATAGAAAAAACATTAACTGGCAGGTGCATGCCTGGTTTAACAATATTGTTTAGGATTAAAATTATAATTTCAATTTTTTGTATGCAAATGGCTGAAATGCATATGTACATGTACAGTAAGTAATATTTTTCAATTTCTTTTTTAATTTTTGGTATAAGATAAAAACAAGATACATATTTTAAACCATGTAGGTATTTGTAAGTGTCAAGGAGATTTTCTCTAGTGAGTTTCTCATTGAAGCACTCAGTGGTGGTGCTGCAGGCTATTGAACCTTTGGACAAGGGCACATATATATACCACAATATCCATATTTTTTTCTGTAAAGTTTAAGAGGCTTTTTAAATGATATACTTACACCATTTATAAAAAAAATCTAAGCTGATAAAAACTCTCAGGTTCAATAATGGCGCTGAAGTATCAATCCCATGCGGTTGAAGTTTTGGTTATTTTCCAATCTGTATATGGAAATGTCTTTAACGTAGCCAATCAGCATCTTGGCATGCCATCCTTATCTCTTTTACACAGCCGCAGACACGATTCTTGCGATTTCGGCGCCTATTCAAACACGAATGTTGTCATCACTGTAGATCTAGTATCAAACATGTCTTTCAACGATATTTCTGATGATGAAACTTTGGACCAAACACCTCTTGCTGATATTCAAAGGAGTCGTGTTCGACAGAGAGCAGCACGTAATTTAAGAGATGTGATACAAGACAGCGAGCATGAAGACTGTCTAAGCGAGGATGATGTAAGGACGGATGAATTCCTGGCAACAAGTCCTGATATCCTTCATCAGAATTCATCCACATCAAGACAAGTAAGCAGAGTAAGTGTGTATACATGTATTTAAACGCAAATTCCATCAGCCTTTTACAAGATAACTCAATATCCACTCACTGAGAACATATATTGTTATGATGATCTAAGGGGCATAGGCTGTGTCAATATTGGATTTTCTATTACAGAACAAATCTTAGTAGACAGAGAAGCGCCGGTTTTAGTTTATAAATCATTAAACTGGTGATATTCAAAGAAAGCACTTTGCAACAATTTTATAACGAAATCCTCATAATCGCTTACATCAACGAAAATCAGATGGAAAACCCCAATGTCTAAATTTAGCATGGGACATACTGTTAGAAACTAAGACATGCATAAGAAAGGTAAATTCTTAGACAAACTTGTCTGTATAAAAACATATAATCTGACCATGAATTGGATGTGATTGTATTCCTATATTTTATTTTTGGCATATTGATACTTATTTATGAGGGGCCTGATGGGTTATTTTCGTTCTTCGTGATCGGCGCATTTTCGTTATCGTGATCCGTTTTTCTACAGATTTAATTTTTTTTATATTTTCGTGATCCGTGATCATGGAAATTTATTTTCTGTGAATCGTGATTGACAAAAAAATCAACTCGTGAATCGTGATGAGACCCCCCCATCAGGCCCCTCATTTATTACAGTGTTCCATGTCTCAGCATACAGAATATAAACATAAGACATGCAAGTACCACAGTTGCCTGAAGACTTCATAATTATAGTGAAAAAATGGTGGAAATAAAATAATTTTAGTAGTATTATAATTATTATTCTATTATAATACTACTAAAAATATTTTATATCCACCATTTTTTCGCTATGATTATGAAATCTTCAGGCGACTGTGCAAGTACACATACTGAAATACAGGCTATTTGTAAAATTGCAGAGAGGAAACTGCTTAACACCTAAGAAATGAAAATATCTTTGCAGATAAGTCAAACACCAGTCCGGAACATGTTGAATACTCCAAGCACTAGTAGTATTAATACACCAAGCACAAGTAGTATTAATACACCAAGGACAAGTGGTGTTGGCAGCAGTGGTCCTTGTAGAGAGTCCAGTACACCAAATGCAAGGTCCATGAATACCATGAATACCAGTTCCAATGATATCCACAGTCTTGGTAAGATTTATCAATGTTATAACTGACACATATAACCAATGTTATTTCAACTGATCGAGCAGAGCTTACGTTTTACTTTGCATATGGACAGTCTATTTGAAGATGTGTGTGATTAGGATGATTGCTGTTATAATTATTACTGATTTCTAATCACTTATCAGTGTCTTCAAAGGAATTTACAAAAGAATGACTGGACGCTTCATTGATGAGTTTATTCTAAAAACCTATCTATAGATGGACCCGGGGGGGGGGGTTACTGACTCTCCTTTCAGGTATAACTGTGCCGACAGCACTTGCCAAATCATACCCTGTTCTAACCAGAAAAAATTGAGAAACATACCCTGTTCTTAACAAAAATATTGAAAAACATACCCTGTTCTATACACGCTAAAAAAATGTATACCCTGTTCTAGACCATATAAAATAGATGCAGTTCTAGACCCGGGTTCTAAACTGTATCTTAAACAGTTAAATAAGCGACCCTTTTCTAGACAAATACTTTGTTTAAAAAAGACCCTGTTCTCACCAGAAGGGCATGAAAAAGCGATCTTGTTCTAACCAGCAGGACATTAAAAAGGGACCCTGTTCTAACAAGCAGGGCATGAAAAAGTGACCCTGTTTTGCGGCACACTCATACCACTAAAAATATAGGAAGTAACTCCCCCGGGAGATGGACTGGTTTATTATGAGCCAACCAGTTAAACTCTGCCCAGTCAAGTGAAATAAATCGAGTAATACTGACCTTTTGATATTAGGGAATTTGTATCTCCACAGGAGTACAGTGAATGTTGCCCTTTAGTTTTCAGAAAATTTGCAATATATTGATAAGTTGTAGTTTTGTTATAGAAGCTGCTGCAGACTAATTCTCACCAGACCAAAAATGTACTACTAAAACACATCCTTTTTTAAAAGATTTCTTCTTTCTTTAAAGAATAACAAAAGTGTATGAAATTGTGATTTTTTTTTATCAAATTTGGTCTAATAATTTATATGTAACAAAAGTTTTTTTCTTGGATGCAATCTACTGATTTTTCATTAGAAATAGGTTTTTGCTTGCTGTTCACAAATATAATGAAGATCATGCGTGTGTAATATTATATAAATAAGAAGATGTGGTATGAGTGCCAATGAGACAACCTCCATATCCTAGTCAGAATGTATAAAAAGTTAATGATATCAGGTTAAAGTATGACTTTTAACACAGATCTAGAGCCTTGGCTCACAACAAACAGCAAGCTATATAGAGCCCATAAATGACTAGTTTTAACAATTCAAACAGAAATACCATTGGTCTAATCTATATAAAAAAAACTACCATAAACGATAAACTCATATGAATCACACCAACAAACGACAACCACTGAACAACAGGTCCATGTCATAGGACAGGTGGCTGGTGCATAAAAATTATTCACACTCAAAGACCAGTTTAAACCACTAATTAAGCACAGAAATGATATCCTGGCAAATCTTAATATGATCCATTTAAAAAACTTAGAGATTAAATATAATTAGATATGAGGGTGTAAAAATATAGGGTAAGGCTAAGGTGCAAGACAAGATTTTTTTCGTAAAACAAGGTATACAAAATTGTGTATTTTATTTCTGTATTTAAATTGAATTAGTCCAATTGTTCATTAACCCTTTTTTCTTCATCTGCACAGGTCAAAGAGATTTATTAATAAGAATATATGAGAGGCAGGAGGAAATCTTGCACTGAAAGCACAGACAGCACATGACAACAGCTCTGCAAAATCCAAAGAAAATCTGGTAGTTCCAATAGGAGTTAAGGTAATTTTTTTTATCAGTGGGGATAACTTGATGGCTTTTTTAAATTTAACCCCATGTCAATCCATTTTCACATGCACAGCTTTCAAGAGTTTGACTCTGTTTTTGTCTGTATATCTATATTTTTTTAGACTTGATGACTTTGTATGGCAAAGAGCAAAGGAAAGCTTACATTTTCAACTCAGAAACTACTTGTTAACTTGCACATTCTTAATTTCGTAAACTTAAAAAATACAACTTAAAAGTACAAAAAATGGCAACAAACAAAAGGAATAACAGTAATCAATGTCACCATTTTTCCTTACTAATAGGATAAGGGAGACTTAAAATGAAATTGAATTCTTGTATTTTACCCCTTGCTTGTGGCAAAATATATAGTTTTAAGAGCCAAACAGTATAAACAAGAGGGTAGCAATGCCCTTTAACGTCAGGCGTCAAAAGGCCATTTAAGGCTACCGTTAGCGTCAAATTGATTAAGATTTTACCGTGATTCATCAAAATATCTTTATGGTGATTTGTCGTCTAAAAGAAAGTGCATATTTTATTGTCATGCACCAAAAAATACCGTTAACGTCATTTGGCAAGAATTTTTACCATTATTCGTCATGAAGTTACCCCCATTACCACCCTCAAACAAGGCCCTATAATTTTTAACTTAAATAAATGCAAAATTCGAATGCATTATTTATGTAACAATTTTTTTCATTGGCTAAAAGTTACCGTCAAATCCACAGTTGATAAGACGTAAGTAAGGAGGGACCCGTCATTTAAAATTAATCGGATCAACAAATGTTAGATAACTACAATATTATCACAATTAAACAACACCTACCTTGAATTTACTGTATTAATGTGATTTTATCAAAATTTGAATCATAGAGGTAACATAATAACCTCCATATTGTAAGTTTTCATTTGTATGACATCACGTTTAGCGTCTTTGCACCAAAATTATTCGTGAAGTTTTGCAGAATTTTTTTAATTGTCATATTTATACATTTTTTCGATTTATTGTCAAATTTATACATTTTTTCAAGCTCTAACATATCATTTCTTTTTGTTATTACTACGCCTCCCCAGTAAGACTGTATTTTCGACTGTCAAATCGACAATTGACGGTGGCAACTCTTCATTTACAGTACAGTTATTCCTTAATTATTTTAGTAATTCAATTGGCAAAAAAAAAATCTTTAATGAACTCTGATGTTGTAGAATGCTGTGAAACAAGGGTACAAGGATGGAGAAGAAAAAGGTCTCTGTTGGAGCTTTGAAGGAAAAAGGTATTATTACAATATTTGATCAGCACCTAAAATTTTGTTTTCACGTAATGAATGCTTGTGTACAAAGCTTAAGCAAATCTAATGGTCTAAACCCGTTCTACTGTGTTGACAAGAAGGAAAACACGTTGATGTTGGTTGTTTCAGGCACCAGAGAATTTTTTTTAACCTGTGCATGCAAATTGAAGACAATGTATTGTTATAGATTTTACAATTTATATGTTGTCTAATAAAAAACAATGTTGAATTTGAGTCTAATACACTATATGAGTTCATAGTTTTTAACATATAATTCTATATGATTTATGTGATGCCTAGTAAATTTGTAGTAACTCACAATGCATTACAGTTCATAGTGTCGATTGGTCAATTTTTCAAGGCTGTGTTTTATTTATTAGTATTTTGAAAATTACTATTCAAATGTAATTAGTGGTCTCAACCTGTATGTGCAACTTAGCTAAATACACTTAAAAGACAAAAATTGGATTACAATATAGTTATCAAAAACTTGATATATGCATTGATATAATAGGTATACTCAGTATATACATTAGCAAGAATGTACATGTATATGTTTTTCATTTCAGAGTTAGTGATGCAGTAAACAAAAATATGACATCACATATTGTGACATTTGTTAAAGGCTGGAATCCAGCATACAATGACATCACCGTATTGAATTGTAAGTGGATATGAATTTCAAAAGCTTACAGTAGTCTTTACTTTTTCCTTGTATTTTATTAAATTGTAAAATGAGGAAATATAATTTACAATCTGATCATTCTGCTAAAGAGAAGAGTTGTCTCTCTTTAGATACAAATAAAATATTATAATTAGTTATTTAAAATCTACAATTGATGTATGATTTGAAGATAATAATTTAATAATAATAAAATAAATGCATGCAGTTACCTAGGAACCCAGCCTGATTAAAATCAAACCTCTCAGCGCTCCCATTTTCTGATATGTCCCCAATGCACTTTGATTTCAATCACACTGTAAGGAAACATGTATTCTCATTTCACATTGATTGTTAATACACCTCCACAAAATGCACCCACTTTTTTAGAAAGATTTGACAATCTATAGTTTCTAGACCCAAGTTTGATCCCTAGATTTTTAAAAAAGTGGTATTAGCTATAAAGAATTCATATATATATATATATATTTACACATCATGAATTTTTATTATAAAACATATAGTCACAGATTTGATTGTGCTACTGATTTTTGTAGGTGCAATGGCAAGATATTTTTCAACCAAGAAGCAGCAGCAATCTGCTATAAGCAAGAACAAGTATGAGGGTGAAAAGAGAAAAAGAGCTCTGTATGAAAGGAAAAAGGAGGTATGTATCATTATTTACAATTTGCTGTCACAAAAGGAGCCCAGAGCCTAACACTTGTTAAATATACTGTAATTGTAGTTATTTTCGCGATGTATTTATATTCACAAATTTCGCGGTTGGTTTATTGTTGCGAAAATAAATACACACGAATCTAAATCCAACTTTTTAACTGAAAACTTACTGTTCATCTATGCATGTAAACTTAACCTTACGTCGATGACATGACATGTTTACAACCCTGTTTATCCGATTAATAAACAAACTAGATTAATATCAACAGGTGACAAGTAAAAACCAATTAAAGGTCAAAGAATCAATAATGACTCGAGATTACCTTGAACCATATGACTTTCTATTGTTATTGTTATTGATTGATTTACAAACATGTGTGTATAGTAGCAGACAATGTTTTTGAAAGCTTTACTGTAATGATTTGATAATAAACAAAATTTCATCTATAATTAGATATTATGAAAATAAAACAAGCACAAACAAATACACAAGAAGATAATTTACAAATAACCAAATTTACTACATTTTGTCATTTACCGAGTGCGACTCTTGCAATACTGGACTTAACCGAAACTCTTATCAAACTGTCATCTTTTACATTCTGAAATGCATGCACTAATCACCCAGTGTGCAATACAGTATACCTGACGGCTATTTACGATTTCACTTTAAATACAGTTCAGATTTACACACAACTATAAAACAATTTTTTTTATTATTTTTGAGAAAAAATCGTGAAAAGAAATACCCGCAAACTTTTTTGAAATACACAATACGCGAAAATAAGTACCTGGGGAAAAAAGTACAATTACAGTATATCTCTAAAATGAAGAAACAAGTTAATCAGATTGCCATAATATATTAAGGTAGATGGGGTGTCTAAATTATAATCCATAGAATTTTTTAATAATAATAATAATAAACCCAATTTTCTGCCATAACACAAAAACTACACCATAGAATTTTGAGATAAAATTTGAGAAGATAACTCTATTATTATGCTTTGAGATAAGAACAAGAAAAAATGGGGTCACAGGACTCGTTTTCTTGCTTCATAATAAAATAGGTAAATTCATAACACATTCTATTGTAAAAGTAACTTTATCTGAATTATCTGCCCTTACATTTAATTGCCTCCCCTTATGTGGCAAAGTTATAAAAAATTGAATCAAACATTCAACCATAAATATAATAAAACATGTCATATTCTATATTGAAATGAAAATTCTTTCACATGAATTACCTACTACTCTCAAAATTTGCACATTATATTAAAGATCTAGACCGATTGTTTTCTGGTATTTCAAAATCAAAGATGGAGGAAGACACCTTATCTACCTTAAAGGTCACAGAAGCTTCGTAACTTTATATACTATTGGAAAACACTTTTATTCATTTAGAACTGTAACTTGGTTTTCATTAGGCAGTCATTTCATTTTAGCTCTGTTACTGGCAACATGCACTAATTTCGACACTATAATTATACAGTAGGCAGGTAAAATGAATCTTTTAAAATCATTCATTTATATGAAAATAACACTAATTGACAGATAATGTGTTGTTATTCTCTCATCAGTCATAAGTGTTGGGGAAGCATCAACATTCATTATGAGAATAGGTGTTTATCATATAATGCCAGAAAAGTTATTTGTGAATAATTCATGATCAATATTTAAAATGAATATCTTTATGAAAGACTCATAGATAATACTCCTTGTACAATTATAGGACATTTTAAAATACACAGAAAGACTCTGAGAAAGAAAAGATATTTGTTCCATGAATGTGAAAATGACTATTTTGTTATGATAATATTTTATAAGCTCAATCATGTACCACTTTTACCTAGCTATAAGGTACAGTGACCTTTGTTCTTTCAATATCAACTTAGTTGTCAGGTTTTGTTGTTAGATTGACTTATTCAGTATTCAGTTGGGGTAAATTTCTTGATTAAAAAAACAGCTTACAGATACACAGTGTGTAAAAAAAAACAAGAGAAAAAAAATTGTCTTTTTAGGGATAATGACTACTGATGATGATAATGACTAATGTATTAAAATTGTCAACATACAAACCCTATTTTTTGTTTCAGTACTGTATGTAACCAAACATCACATTATTTTTAATGCTTACAGAAAATTGTATTTACTAAATGAATCTTTTAAAGGTTACAATTCTATATGTTAAATCTTTTTTTTTTCAGAAAGCAAAAAGAAGACTAGTAGCACTTGAAAATCATGATATTAGCGCAGTAAAAAAGGCCAAAATTACAGAGGCTTTAAAGCCAATGTACATGTCCTCAGATGAAGAAGGCCAAGAGGGTTTTATAACCCATCAACCCTCTTGGCAGTCGCCCAAGTTCAAAGAGTATAAAGCCAAATTGGATGGAGCATATTTAGATATATGCTCCACCAAGAGCAGAAGACTTTTGCAGACCAGAGTCAGAGGGGACATGAACAATAAAGAGACCCCAGATGTGGGGGATAACTTGAAGTGGATGATCAAATAATAATTAAAAAACAAATTAAAAAAAATGTTTTCATTTTGTTGCAATTTTGGTGCGATTCAAGTGCACAAAACAAATTAGCAAATATGAAATGACTATTTATAGATGGATTCTTAAGTTATATAAATATAGAAAAGAAGGTATGGTATAATTGCCAATGAGACAACTCTTCATAAGAAACCAGATTACTCAGAAATAAACAACTACAGGTCACTGTACTGTCTTCAATGATTAGCAAAGACCCTACCGCAAAGTCAGCTATAAAAGGACTTGAACATGTTGAACAAATAACAAGGCAGTTAAAGTAATCACCATTTACAAGAAGACCCTATGGACTGGTCAATTGAGTCTACTCAAATGCAACAATATATTAAAAACTTGCCATTGGACAGGTGATTTTGCAAAAGAAACTTAATTCAAATGCTTCATTGAGGGTATCACACCCTGAACACAATACAACATGTTAACAAAAACAGTACACACATTTTACTACAGGACAAACCACTGATGAGGGTATAGAAGATTAGAGCAGGAAACATTATTATTTGACTAAGATATTAGGTTTACGTTTGTGATAAGACTTGGCCCCTTAAGACATGCAGAAGTACAAAACGGCTGCATTCTGGTGACCTTCTTGAATTACAACACTCTAGAAAGCTAAAAATGTAGGTCTCTTTTATGTCAAAATTGATATTCAAAAGGTCATATTTGACTGACATTTTTATGCCTTTCATCTCAAAAGTTCACCTTGTTTTTTTTATAAAATGCCATTAAATGTTGACCTTTTGCCTATCTTTTGTCATGAGTTGCTTAATTTGAACTTGCTTTGATACCCAAACATAGTTTCTCTCTGCATATTTCATCAACAAAAAAAGAGGTGATATGCATATGGAAATCTTGCCTACCATGCTTTTCTTTTGTTCATATTTTATCAACATTTTGTTTCCAAAAGGTATAAAATTGTTAATTTTTTTTGAACAAAAGGTACTATTTTGAGGATCAAATTTATCCAAAAGTCTAACTTCTGTTTTGATATGGATACATTTGGAATAACTAAAAGTCCATCTTTGATATACCTATTGTCTTCCTTTTTAAATACTAAAAGTTGCCCTTTTATACATCTTATGACAAAAAAAGTCCATCTTTGATATAACTATTGTCTTCCTTTTTAAATACTGAAAGTTGCCCTTTTATACACCTTATGACAAAAAAAAAGTCGATCTTTGATATAACTATTGTCTTCCTTTTTAAATACCAAAAGTTGCCCTTTTATACACCTTTTGACAAAAAAAAAGTGGGCCATTTCAACTGCCTTTTGAATCATCAAAAGATATACAAAATGTCTACCTTTTGTAACTTTTGATTTTTTTGAAAATGTGAACAAAATTGGATAAAAGGTAATCGAAAGAGGGCCTTTCCTTTATCTTTTAGTCGCATCGAAAGACTATTTTTGGTGCAGTGAAACTGACATTTTATAAGCTTTTAATAGGCACACTCTACAGCTGTAATGCGTGATAAATAGAGCCAAGGAGAAGCAGTTTCTTACTAAACAAGAATTGATCTTCTAACAAGAGATTAGAAAATTAATAAGATCAGGGGGCGGTGATATTTGTGAGCTCTCCTGGACCTATATTTTATTCAGATTTGATATATTTGCATCTTTTGTGGCTGTTTTAATGATGAAGAAATGTCAGCATTCAATGTAGCTGCAAATACGTAGCTCTTAAGATCGCTGTTTTTAATCGCGCTTTTTTGTGTGAAGTCCGATTATAAAGGGCGACCCGAAGACTCACATATTCGCAGCTACATGAAATGTTGAAATTCAGTCAACAAATGATACTATAAGAAATTCGGGATGACATAAAAACTTCAAAATTAACTCAATGTTTTTATTTTAAGTAGGTAGCAATTCTGTCTTTTTTCGATGTTAAACCTGGGACTACTGTTATCAGGTAAAACTAATGTCAGTATCAATGTTTAAATTTTCGTTTTTTCTTTATTAATTTATTATAATACTGATCCCTCCTGTTGGTATGCTTCACTTGTCCTCAATCTTTTGCATGAAAACGGCAATCTCTCACTTATCAGAGAAAAACGGTCAATAAAAAGCCGCTATATTTTAGGCCAAAACGAAGGGAGCCAAAGTTGACAAAAATGTCCCCATGTTTTGAATTTCTTCAATATTTTTGGATACAACAATTAGTTGTTCAAGAATGGGAACTTGGAAGATATTGTATGACAATGAAAAATGTTGTAATATGTTTAAATATTTTGTTGTGTATATTGCATTGTGTATGCCTTTTGCCCTTCATTGTACGTAATTTGTGCATAAAGGGATGGATTGGAGTATATTTTTTACTGAGACCAAGATTAAATTACCCAACATTTTCAAAATGAAATGTTTGACGGATCCGATTTTATATTACTTCCAGAATGAAAAATAAAATTTCTCTACAGAAGAATCCTGCAACGCACCTCTTGATCTTTGGACTCGACTGAACATTGTTATTAGTTTTTATGATTATGTAACTATGTAACTATGTACGAAAGACATTTCGGGATACAGTTTTGGAAATGCAGAAACCAATTACGGAATGTCGATGACTGTAAACCGTACATACAAACAAGTATTCATTTCTTTTGACAACACATTTTGATTTCACGCTTAATAAAATTACGATTTTCCCGGATTCCCAGGTTTTTTTTTTTGTAATTTCACGCGTCGCGCCCGATTTTGTTTCCCGTTTTCACGCACAATAATTTGACTTTCACGTGTCGCGCTTACAAAGAAAAACAGCCACTCCCGCATCACGCTTAGACCCTAATGAGACCCACTATCTATACTTAAATCATATACCAAATAGTAATTCGTTAATTTATTGTAGTACGTTTTTGCATAGTACAAAATCCATGTATAAATAAATTCAGGATTGATTGATTGTTGGTTGCTTAACGTCCAGTGGCAAATATTTCATGCATATTCAGGACGAGAACAAATTAACAATTAATACAATAGGTAGGTTCTGTAATAGTGGCGTCCGGGATTAAGGTCGGAGAAATTTAGACTGCCACGGGAAATGAGGGTATATTGGATAGGGACAGACATTTAGGCTTGCAACAGGTCACCTACGGACCCCTCAAAGAGTTGTTGCAAGGGTTCTTAACGTGCAAAGAGCGTGGCACTCTCTTTACACGAGGCATCGGATTTAATGTCCCCATTCTCACCGGACCTGGCTGCAAATTTGTACATCCCGCACAGCCAAACGGACGCCCCACTTTAGCAAGGGTTTTACTACCGGTCGGAGGAAGACCAATGGTGACCATACTTCTAATCCCCAGTTACCCTGGGGGGGGGGGGGGGGGGGGGGGGGGTATTCAGGAAAGCAGTGAACAAAGTCATTGCAAACTGAGAGAAGATCGAGAGAGTCAGATAGTAAAAAGATCCAAAGTGAAGCATTTGTGAAATACTCAGTATTTACCGTTTGTAATATCTTTATTTGAATCGTGTACAATATCATCATTCGTTGATTTATTCATATTAGGTTTCTGCATAGTATAAAGTTATAATGTAACATGAATAACTAGGTGTGTTTTATAGTTAAATTTTATCAATTTGTTATTGTGTCAAAAAGAATAAACCTGTGTGAAGTACTTCAAACTATTTTGTCTTTCCAATACGTGTGAGCAGTATGACAACTACTAGTATACCGAACCTTTAAATATAAAAAAACAAGATGCGGTATGATTGCAATGAGACAATTCTCCACAAGAGACCAAATAACACAGAAATTAACAGCTATAGGTCACCGTACGGCCTTCAACAATGCGTATAGCCAATAGCGCATAGTCAGCTATAAAAGACCACGAAATCACAAATGTAAAACAATTCAAACAAGAAAACTAACGGCCTTATTAATGTACAAAAAATTGAACGACAAACAAATATGTAACACAGCAACAAACGACAACCACCGAATATAAGGCTGAGAGACTGGTTGACAGATTAACGTATCTGGGTAGAGTGGCATGTTCTCTTGCAAACTTGCTACCTAGTGCAATAGCAATATTAATATCTAAAATTCAGTTTCATGGTCTTGTTCAAATATTTGAAAAAAGGCGAAAGATACTAAACGGATAGTCATTCTCATTAGTCAAAATTATGTCATGGTAAAAAAAAACAAACAAAGGGATAAAAATACATCATAGAAAACTGGTTTAGGTTTCTCAACACGAACCCCACCAAAAACTTGGGATGTTCTCAGGTGCTTCGGAATAAGACTAATTCTAGATGCATATCAAAGCTCCGTGGTACTTTGGTATACCAAACCTTCATGTTATATACATCAAGCAACCTATTAAGCTACATATCAAAGTGAAAGAAGTCGTATATATGTTTTATTGATACACAAATAATATAATTAAACTGAAACATTCTGTAAAAAATGGTATTGTTTAATCGTTTAAATGTCAATTTTAAAGCTATTCAGAGTCTGACACGTCACTAATACATTCATTGATTCATTCGTATACCCTATCCATTGACGGAAACTCTTTTATAAAAATACCCCATCCATTGACGGAAACTCTTTTCTAAATATGTTAACTACACAAGCCGGTAGGATAATTCTGTGTTTCTTGCCAAGTGGTTGACCTTTCCTGACCCAACAAACCAACTGATGATACGTCATTAGACTGCTTTGCCTGAGGGTAAGTCACTCAAGTGCGCGTCCGCGATAACGATTGTACCTCAGGAAACTAATGTAGCTTGTTTCAAGAACAACGGGGTTTTGTTACTATGTTTACGAGTAACAGTATGACTACTAAAGGCTGGAGAGAGTCATGTTGGAATTCCTAGGGCTGGATCCACCCTGGTTGAATATTGAAGGGAGACAAATGGCCATTGTTTCTCAAGATATAAATCTGGCTGTAAGGGAGGGCAGATTTGAATTACTGCCATAATTAGATATTCTTAAGTTATCGCTGCGAACAGCGGGTAGGGACAACATGGATGACTATTTTT